GAGAGAGAGAGAGAGAGAGAGAGAGAGAGTGAGAGAGAGAGTGAGAGATCGTATGCCTACCTTAGTTTTTTGGGAACAGAGTAGTCTACCTCTATCACCTTTCCGTGTAATTCAACTTTACCTGTAGGGACGAAAATGACAATGTAACATTAGCTGTGTGCCAGGAAAGCAACAATGCAAGCTGGTAGACCTACACAACAACACTTTGAATCACTTCACCAAGTAGGTGCGCCCCCATTCAAACAGCTACAAAAAAAAAAGTACTCTGTGCGCACGGTGGCTGATAAACTGGGTATGTTTGTGTTAAAACAACCACCGTGGGACATTTCGAGCGTCACAATTGAGGGGAATCGGCGCCAAAATGAAGCATGATAAGCTTATATAGTGTGGGGGGGGGGGGGGGGGGGGGGGATAGAATGGGCAGCCATGCTTTCCACTCCCACAACCCTCACAGTGCAATGAGGGGTATTTGTTTCGGCTCTCAGTAAAAAAAATAATAAAAAAATGCAACATCAAAGAAGAGATGGGTTGAAAGGAGAATGACTTGTAGCCTACTCTTTCTATTCTAGGTAGGTGCTTCTCCGTGTTGACCCAGCCGTGGGTGAATTTGAAGCGCTCTTCGGCGAAAGCTTGAACACGGGTTTTCGTTATTATGAGTGGCCTGGCGCAGCACGGAATTAGCGTCTCACCTCGTCCCCCCTCAGCTACCTGTTTATTAGCTCTTTCCTCCGGACCCCCATGACCCACCTCCAAGACACCTCGTAAAAACATAGCCAGACATCAGAGGAACATGGATCTGACAAGTTTTCCGCGGTCGCTTCGCTCTGCTCTCTTCAATAAAATCAAGATAAAAAATAAGTGAAAAATAATTATGCCTACCCGAACCATCAGACCATCCCATACATTCCAGCGGGTGATTGCAAAGTAGCGCACCAGACCATCGGAATCTCCAAAATATAGATTATTGTGCGCGTTTATAGCGTTACGACGGCTCGTGTTTTCTTTAGGCAAACTGGCACTAAAGCCCCAAGTGTGTCCTGTGATCGATAAATGATCCATTTTTTTTTTTTTGTTGAAGCGTGCATGGCTGAGCGTTCATCTAAACTCCGATGGCACACGGATGTGATCGCAAACACTGTCCCGAGCAACAACAAGAACATATTAACACAATATATGATTACTATTTCGCATTTTGGACACCCTGAGCCATGGTGTTTTTTAACCTGATCTTGCAGTTTGACTCGCTGTGGATTTTTTTCCCCCTGTCACCAGCAGCATCACTTATCAAATCTACACTTACCAGAAAGAGTCTCTATAGCCTTTATGGCCGAGTTCTGGTCGGGGAAGTCCACAAAAGCATAGCCGGATTTCATTAGGACCAGGTCGGCCACTGGCAGCTTCCACTCCCCAAAGAGCTCCTTCAAGTCCTCGACAGTAACCGAAGGACTTAAATTACCAAAATATAGTTTGTTCATGATCTGAGAGGAAAAATCTCGAAGGGGTATCAGATCTTGAGAGTGAGAGGGTGGCGATATTTAAGAGAAGTAGAAAAATAAAAATAAAAAAATAAAATAGAAAATCTGATGGGATTAAAAAACAACAACGCAGCAATTACCCCCCAGGAGATTACTAAACTATAGGCGACCCCCCAGCACCAACTCTGGCCCCGGTCTAACTCTTTTAACAGGGACTGGGGGAAAAAAAGTGTCGTTACGACGCTACTCTGGAGCCAACAAGCACCGCCTCTAAATAAAATCTCCCTTAACAAATCACAAGAAAAAATGTTTGGAGGTGCATGTGGGATCGCTCCCGGTTCTCCAGCGTAGAAAGGAGCCTACATTTGGGGTATGGAAGTGGCATGATGATCACTGGGTACATTTAGCGAAGGGATGGGCTTAAAGGAGGCAGAGAGGTTATTTCATCAAATCATAATAAGGGCCGTGCCTTGGGTCCCTCCAGGCTGGGGGAGTGAGAAAAAAAAAAAGGCTACACGGAAAATCAAGTCGTTGTCACTATACTTGTCGACCCAAACGATGTCACTGATCTCCACAGTTTGCCTTTTATTTATTTATGAGAGACACGGAAATATGGATTTATGAAGCTATGGACGCAGGGGGTCCAAACCTCTCACGAGATATTACCCTATAATAAAAACATCTGTAAACATATTTAATGATTCTAGGATTTTGCTACATTTATGAAACTGTAAACAAGAAGAACAGACAATTGAAGCTATCTTTTTAAAACAATACAGAAAGGGAAACCTTGAAACAGCCAGTCTTGTACATTCTGTCCTCTCGTGCAGAAATAACAGTGAAATAAACAATATTGTTTTGCATCCTTATCAGGGGCCACGGATTAGGGCCTCGGACCCACGGCTTTACACAATGTTATTAAAGGTGATGCCACTTTCGCTTTGCGTTTAGCCCGTGAATGGTGATGGATCCAATTGCAAAGTGTAAAACTAAGCAAATATTTATTTTAGATGCCGATAAGGAGACATAAGGGGATCCCTGGCTCTCGGTTTTATCTTTGCATGGGGGAGGTGCCCTCTATGCAGTGTCACTCAGCCAGTCTGAGCTCATACTCCAGGCTACAAACATGGTATAGCATTCTTGTTTTTGTGTGATGTAGGTGTGCGCATGTGGGTGTGTTTGGGGAAGCAAAATAGCACCTAAACTACAAAGTAAGGAAGGAGGATTTCAAAACAAAAACTGAAATGTAAGGGGAAGGGCTGTGGAGCTGCATGGCGATTGGGGGGAGGGGGGTGCAGGCTGCAGTGCTCATGCATGGATGTGTACCTACACCAGTTACCAAGGGGCGGAGCCTCTTGCCTACAGCACTTGAGTGTGTCTACATGTGACTGGAACATTACTGCCACCCTACAGTGGTGGAGAGAGTGCCGGCAGCAGGAGTGACCGTTCCTCGCCTCGTTTACGTCAGTGTGTGAACAGAGGAATGTTCAAGCTGTGGCCTATTTACAAAACAGCTCTTTAGTTACTTTCCTGATGACATGCTGACACAGTTGTTGCAGGCCTCTCTGCTGTCAGCTGAGACTCATTCAGAGTTCAAATAAATGACATGATCATTTTCTTTACTGCACTTAACATTTCTATATTAACTTTTTACTCTGGACATGTGTTATTTGTAAATTAAACAATATCTAGTTATGGCATTACCTGCCTTTGCATAACCATTTATATAGCATTTACTTTTTCTTTTCTAAGTAGATAAATGCAAAGCAAATAAAATTGCATTGACTTCCACTCAGAAAGGAAAAATAAGCAGAACTGAAGGGGATGTGACATTCGGTAACAGCGAGCGACCTGCTGACCAAAATAAACAACACACATGTAGTCTAGACTTAAAAGTAGCAGAGGGAAATAAATGAGCTGATGCTGTTTCAAAGGTACGGTCAGTTGTGTGACTGGTGTCTTCACTTTCCTCTCTGTCATACCTCTGTATTATATTTCCTGTGTTAATGATGTAACCTTCTTTTACTGTCTGTCAGAAAAAAAAAAAACTTCTAATAAACCAATGCTGATAACCACAACATATGAAATACATGTTCATGAATAAAATCATGGATAAAACATACACACACACAGCTACATTCATAAAAACTGTTAAAAAGAGGGGGTGGATTGGATAAGAGAACAATCCACACAGCAGCAAAATAGCAAACTAGTGGAATTAATAATACAGTTTACATCTTCCTAACACGTGTCTGGTTGTATGGTATCCCCTGTGGGATCAAACATGGCCCAATAACAGTTTACTAATTCCTATTAATATCTAGACTGTCTCAAAGGTCCATTCTTTTGTTGTGCAATAGAATGTGTGAAGTAGTTATTTACTTGATTTAGTCAAGTATTGCACACGACAACAGAACGGTCAGTGTCACTGTTACCGTTCTTTGTTAGATGTCTTTCCTTGCCTGTATTTCAGAAGGAAATTTACAGACAAAACATATGCTAAAACCTTATAAAGTACAAAAGAAAGAGTATAATTGAGAACATTTACATTCAAATACATCTTATAGTGCATCAATGAACTACAGGATACCTATTACATTATATTTGCTAATACCATCAGACCTTTAGAGGGTTAGTTCACCGTGAGTAGTGGGAGCATGAATACAATTCATTCACCTACTGTATTGGGGTGAAGGGCGGAATTTCAGAACATTTCAAAACACGGACAAATGAAGCAAACGTGATCTGCATTGCTTGATCCCACTAGATGATGTTTCTTTAAATAATTTTGTTGAATAGACCCTTTAACCCTTTAACTACATCAACAGAATACAATAAACTGAGACGTCAACAAGTCATTCAGTTTATCATGTACCACGTGTGACCAGTAGGGGTAGACGTGAGACTTGGCAGATGTTGCTTCACCACATGTTGATTAGCAGTTTAAACACTGTACTCGGTGAAACTAACTGGTTTAGCTGAATTTACTTATGGATTACTCGTCCCAATAACTTTCAATGACTATAAAAAGTGACAAAAAATAACCCATGTATAGTTTAAACTTGTGCTTCACAGTGACATTTAGTCAAACAGATTTAGTTTCTGGTCGGGGAGTATTAGTCTGAAAATCAGAAGAAATTGCCATTTTGTTTCTCGTCATTATTACTTATTGAGAATTATTGAGAATTTGAGGATTGTTGTTGTCCGATCCAGGGTGCTAGAAGTGGGTAAAGAACTACAATTTTTACTGTTAAAGTTGAGAGAACTAAAAATCAACACAAAGCAATGCGATAATACGAAGGCTTTGTATCTTTGTGTTATAAACAGCCTTGCAGCAGAAAATGGTTCAACTGTAGAAAAGTCGTAAGAAAGGACACGAGTCAAAGTGAAAAAAAAAAGCATATTTATTTTAATCGGTTCAAAGATGAATGTTCACTCGTGTACAAAAAATACATTAATAAAAACATTAATATATATTTTTTTTAATGGCAGTTGTTGCCTATACATTTAAAATTAAAAACATGAGAGGACAGCTTAGTCATGTCAAATGATACTGCTTCAAAACTGATCCCAGTATACATTTACTCGTCATATATACGTTAGCAAACAGAAGTATGAAGATCTCCTTAAGAAAGAAGATCTATTGTGAAATCAATCATTCCACTGAGAAACATTTCCTGTCCGTCTGTGGGAGGGGCTTGACAGCAATGCTCAATAGCGACCTGTGAAACCAAAAAGTGATTAAACCCATTGCAACCTGTTTCATGCCTCAATGAGAAAAGTGGATAATTTACTAAAGAAGGACTCACGAGGAGAATAAGACCTCGATCTGGACCGAGACCTGTAAGCCCCTCTGTAGTATGGGGACGGAGATCGCCTTCTGAAACGAGACAAAATTAACATTTTAACAATTACTTTCCCATCGTTAATCTGAACGACTACCTTTAAAACAATGTGAGATATTGACCTGTATGATCTGTAGTGGTCCCTGTCATCATAGCGGTCACAGCCCCCTCTGTCGTATCCACGGTCGTACCCGCGGTCGTACCCACGGTCATAGTCACGAGAGTTGCGACGAGGACCACGTGGACCACTACTTTCGCTGCCGCCGCCGCCACCACTACTGCCACCACCACCTCCTCCTCCTCCTCCTCCTCCTCCTCCTCCACCGCCGCTGCTGCTGCTGCCTCCACCACCACCACTGTACAGAAAACAATGCAAAGATGAGATTCTATTTAAATAAACTAAATGTAAGTGCTCCTTCACATAATCTGTTCTTTCTTCCTGACTGAGCTCTGCATCTGGAAGTTCTATATCGTTGGTTCTAAGGGCAGTATTCTGTGTTTACTTTGTAACTTTGAATTAGATTAATTAATTAAAAAGACAAATTCTGTTTATGTCATGACACGTACAGGTCTTGAAGAAGTGATTACTCACCTGTAATGATACACTTTCAATATATTTGTCACTTCATTTGAGTCAAACTAGAGTAACCAGAGCTGAATTGATTCAGTAAATGGCAGTAATATTGTAGAAATTATAAGCAGAGCATATCAGATGCACCCTCAACATATATATATACATATATACAAATAAACACAGATCTGGTTACTCTAGTTTGACTCAAATGAAGTGACAAATATATTGAAA